CTTCTATTTTACTAGATTGACAATGTACAAAATAAAATGCAACTAAAAAAACCTTTTCATAGGTCCTTAAAATGTAAAGGGTGGGATAGTGAAACGGGTTTTCCCATTTAAATACATTAGAAAATCACCGTTTTACTGCCCCATCCTGTATATTAATTTCTTGTTATTTTCTAAAGAAAAATTGATTTTCTTACATTTAAATTAAAATAAATCATATACTGGTACTGTGATGGAGAAAACAATAAATTTTACCTACATATATTACTTATTAGTTAAATATTACTAACGTGTATAGCCACTAGCGGTCGGCTGTTGCCTGTTATTTAACAATAACCTTTTATGGAGATTTTAAAAATTGTGTTTTTTTAATAATAGTATAGGAGCAGTATCATGATGTTAAATGTTCACGAGATTTGATCTAGTCATAAAATAAAGTACTATCGTTCATGAACAAGTAATAAAATAATGAAATATCATGTAATAAACACAATATTATGATACCGACCATTGGGCCCTAACCTAACCTAACATGGATAGACGTTACCAACTGATAGTTTTTAGTGTCTGTTCGTTTCTCACATCTGGTTCACCGGGTTTTAGTTAAAAAAAAAAAAAAAAAATTGAATTTGTGTAAACTTAAGTCAAAAGTGGTACTTGAGCACAAAACTTAATAGTATCATTTTGCATAGATATACATAAAATTGTTTTAATGATTTGATAAATTTTTTTTAAAGATTTTAGGTGTTTTTGTTAAAATATACGCAATCTGCGAAAACACAGTTTTCCGGCAATTAAAAAAAACTGTAGTGCCAAATTTTTTTTCCGTTTAATATGTTATGGATACATATGAGTTTCAACTACTGGCAAATTTTCAACTCAAAGGTCTTAAAATTACGGCTAAAAACCCCGAAAAACAAAAAAACTTGTACCCCCCCTAGGGGGGTGGGAAATGGGTATAGTTTAAATTTGACACAATTGACGTGTGCGGGCATACCAAATAATTATTCCTTATACATTTCAACTTGATCCAACTCTTTTTCTCGGAATTATAGCCAGTAAAAGTTCTAACTTTAAATAACTCGTAGGGTTTTTTTTTGTTTTTTCAAATGTCGTCTGTGAAGAAGTAAACTTTTTCAACTTTTACCCCTACCCCCCAAAGTATCAACTAGATGAAATTTGTGATTTATAGAGTTGCTACTCGAAGTAATTGGTCCAGTATTAAAAAAGTTACAGTGTATACAGATAAAAAAAAAAACACACATCAGAGTAAAACCAATACCTTCTCGCTTTGCATCGAAGCTAAAATACACTTAATTAGATCTTAAAGTATCATTGAAGCCAAGCTACGACTTATTAAGACATATCTATTTAAGAAAAAAGTAACAAATTTTATGTGAACACATAAAATATAACGGTAACGATCAACTCTTAATATTTAAATATGTAACCATAATAACACACAAAAATAAACCATTGTTACTAATTAACTGACAAAAAAGCAACACATTTTTAATTTACCAATTGTTTTTTTTTTTGTTTTATTATATTCAAAAATGATTTAAAGTCAGCTATAATATATTCTACGGAGAAACAAAACGTTAGATCTCATTATAACAATATATTAACTTTTTTATATAATCGTCGAATACAATATTCGTTCAAAGCAGACATTCTATATTTTTTATTCATTTAAGTATTCTTTCACGATTATATAAGTAATTAAAATTAACAAATAAAAATCCTTAAACTGCAATGCATATTTTATCATAAGTATAGAGTAAAAAGAAAATTATTTCAAGCTAATGATCATTTTTATATTATTGTAAAAATATTTATGGTCGTTTTTATGGCAAACAAAATAGATTTCACTAAAAATATTCCGTATGTATGTAAAATCATTCGTATTCCTTTGAGTGATAAAAAAAAATAAACTAGTGTATCATTATTATTAAAAGTAAATGTAATCATAAAGTAATATTCATTGAACGCGTCATTATTATATTTTGTATTGTAAAGATTCTTATTATGACAATTCTGCATAGTAAGCCGCATTTATATTATAGACATATTTTTCGGGGTTGCCTCGAAATTTTAATAAGAAAGGTGGTTTGTTTTTAGAGTCTGGTACTAAAAAACGAATGAAAGATTTTAATACTTTTTCAGAAAAAAACATCAAACGTAAAAAGTGCCAGGAAACGACGAGTTTATTATTATTTTTTGCTTCTTGACGTTCAAGTCATTTGAATTGGTGGTTGTAACAATGATATAAATATACACGCATATGATATTGTACAAGGTTTTTATGATGCTACTATTATACAGAAATGTATGCGAAACGGTAGGAAACCAACCGGAAAGTTTATTAAAGCCGGTCCAGCTCGACGCATTTGAAATTCTGTCGGGTCGACAAAAGCCCGTTGTTAGAGAAAAGTTTTGGACTTTTCGCGTTAGGAAAGTCGTTAGGTCTTCATTTGTTGTAACAAACTAAACGGATTAGGCGCGCAGACTACTGTTCGTACAAAAATAACCCACACACAGGAGGGAAAAACAAAATGAGATCTCAACGATTTTTCTCTTGTTTTTCGTTTAGAATAGAGCTTTGAGTTTATTAAGAATAACCATCATCATTATTGTCACCTCGACTGTTGATGTATGGTAGATAATAAAGTATGTACACATTACATTATGCATCAATCATTCTAGTTGTTCGATACACATGCCCCGGGATAACATGTTTGTGAACGACATGCCATTTTAAAGGGCGAGAGTTTGACGGAAATCTGTGTGGACGTGTTAACTTTGATAGCGTAAAGCTAAATAATGTTAGATGAATGTAAAGAGACAGAAAGGTCTCGCATTAACCACCGTGACACGATAAAGATTAAGTATTATACAGCAGTCGATAGAAAATTTATACTTTTATGTGTCAGTAGTCGATCACATATGACTCGCATACATAATATAAAACTGCTACATTTTGAAGTCTTTCAATAACATCGACCATTTAGTGTAAGAGAGCAAGAAAATATCAGTCAAGCACACATTTGTCTTATATTAATTCAAGATTATAATTTATTATCTTTTAGAGTAAATAATTCAGGCTCTTTTTGACTGTACCGGGTTTCATATGACTTCCATATAGCAACACAGAACGCGTCACAAGTTTTATTTTAATACTGTATTTTCTTAAATGGAATGAGAAAGAGTGATTTGTTTTCCTTATCTTTTTTTTATTAATATGATTTGTAAGTAGGATAATTAATTTTATTAAATATTTCCTTCCGTGAAAATATAAAAGTTCAAAATGCAGTTTATTTTTGATAATTAATTCCTATACGTCGCATCCCTTTAGTGAAATGTATTCATACTTTCCATACTGCTTAAGAGGACGCAACCCATCCATATATTGTGGAAATTGGGTTTTGCACGAATGAATAATGTAGAGACTGTGATAGTACTAAATTCATCAAATTTCCATAGAAATAAATTGCACAACAAGATATTCGTTTCATGAAAACTTGTCGAGTAATGACATAAATTTAAATAGGTTTATATAATAGATAATTTGTTGAATAATTATTAAAAATAACGATATCTAACGGATAGGCTTTTCAGTATATTATTATTGTACATAAAAGCGGCTATTTAGAGTTCAGTAAAATGTTACCCCGAGTTCGACCCATCTGTTGCCACTCGTGTGAAAAGAATCGAGTGATACAAGGGTATCGAATCTTGACACGTATGAAATTAGTTTTGCATAAACAGAGCGCCGTGTTATAGTGTTTTACCCGCCCAAGAGCCAATAATCAACCTATTTTTAACATTGAAAAAAAAAAATTATTTGTCATAAAAAAACAAGTAAAAATCAAAATGTTTATCCCCATAGAAAACATATTAAAATTTACGAGTTAAAACAATTTTTTTAAAATCCGTCAGATAGATATTCTGGAAAGCTACTTTGCCGATTCTATCTTGAAAGGTTTTTATGATATCAAAGGTTTGCTCTATCTGCTCTCCACAATAGTGTTTTGTCACAGCCGTTCGCAATTTGTTTTCTCACAATTAGACGTTAATATGATTAAACTTCCGGCGTAATCCAGTTAGCGTGGAATACAACACAAGATTCTCTACATGTATCGAGTTATTGGTGGGTTCATTAGTCGATACGGCAGGGAAACGTTAAAAGACGGCCGCCGCGGGTAAACTTATTTCCACATACATACTTCACGGTAAATAATAATAATAACAACATTACATTTGTGTAAAGGTACAATATTAATTGAATTACAAAATGAATAAAACAAACTCGGGAAAAATATTGGCAATAGTAAGATAACGCGGACCAGTCTAGATTATGAAATAGTTAAAAATGAACTTTTATACTAATTAATGAATTCAATATAAATGGTCCCATGACCCCGAGGATCGTGCACGGCTCTACTTTCATCCGATTTCCGATAAACGTGACCCAGTCTTGTTTCAATTTAACCGTATCTGAATTATAACTGCTTTTGAGTAAATATTTATTACATTTTCCGACCCAATTGGACTCGTGACGGTGAAATATAACAACAATGATGGGTTTGAATCAATAACCAATATTTGTATAAAATGACCATTTAATTAATTTTCCATACGATATTCATATGCATTAGCTGGTCACGTACGTTTATTTATAACAAAATAAAAGTGACAAATAACATTTTTTTCATGCATTTACTGAATCAGCCGTATAGATAAAATTATAAACACACTCGAGAACTGGAACCTTGAGTATGTTATACTTTATCGTCATTTTGATATAAAATTAAAGCAAGGCGATTACAAAACAAGGAAGTGCTGAATTCGTCGACTACTTTAGTGTACACGTTTATTTGTTGTTAATAATAATGTGCAAAAAAATAATAAATGATAAACCGTTAGCGGTTCTCAAATTTTCGAAAAAATTACAATGTTAAAATATGTTATTGAACAAAACATAATTATATATATATATTTACCTCAGCAGTAGGAGTGGGAGGAGGACCAATATCCTGATTCAGTTCTTCAGGTTTCTTTTCCTTGAGCGCTTTCACGATTTTCCACTTGCTACCACTTTCCTCTTTTTCTATTAAATCATTCTTATCAAATTTAAATCTGGGCAACGACGGCGTACCGGGAGTCTCGTCCTCCTCGACGGCCATTTGTTCGTCGGTTACTTCCGATTCCGGTTCCGGTTCCAGTTCCAGCTCCGGGTCGTCTCTTTTTCCTCCAACGCTATCGGGTACTTTCATTTTCTTGAATTTAATGGGTCCCGTAACTTGCTGTTTATCTTCCTCAAAAACCGGGTGCATCGGGTGTTCTTGCTCGAAAGATTCGAAAGCATCTTCGTTAGACGACTCGTCCACCGACTGTTTTCTTATGTCCTCAATAGCCCTGGACATTTTCTCCTTAAAATCAGCTTTTGATCCTAAAACTGACGATTCGGGTCGGGTGGTTGGAGGAGGTGCCATCGATGGACCAAACACGCGTTCGAAATGAGTCTTTTTCTCTAACTCTTCCAACTGTTTTAATTCGTAACAATACCATTCGTCGTCGCTGTCAATACTCTCTTCGGTACTCTGTCTTCTTGAAGATATTCTAGACGTGCTCCTCCACGAGTGATTACTCCGACTATCGTCTTCCGTGTCTCCCGAACCCTTACTGGCCCATGGCACTTCTAAACTGGCTTGACGAGGGGCCATTTTATAGGTTCTTACATTGTTAACCACGGGCGCAGCTGGTTCCTCGTTACACTTATTTTGTTGCGGTTCTTCGAGCAATTTGTTCCGTTTTTCTACAGGAGGTGAAGGTTCGTTTTCCGACGATCCGTTACTATGTTTGAAATGTTCTCTATACTTGCTCAAAGCTCTGGACACTGCAAATTCCTTAGTTGGCCCATTAAACATCTCGGCCGGTAACTGAATTCCACTATTACTTGAGTCCTGTGGCTGGTTAGGCGATTCTGCTACGGTGATTCTCGGTTCCGGTAAAGCGGGCGGTTCTGGCAGTAAAGGCCGGTCCTGGTTTGCCGACTCCGCTTGTATACGTGTCCATTCGTTTTCGGCAAACTCTGGGTCCGATATAGAATATGAACTCTGAAACCGATTAGGTTTAGGTGATTTGTGTAGTAGCCCCGATACGGTGGATACAATCGATTTTTTCTTTTTGCGATTATGTTGTTTTTGAACGAGCCATCCTCGTTGTTTCATAGAACCACCCGTTTCACTTTGCACCGATACTTCATCTTGTTCTCTTTCTAGGCCACCCGGTAAAGAATGCGACCGATGTCGTTGGGGCAGATGTACGTCAGGAAACCAATTGCTCACTGAACTACTCACCGAACTCATCGCAGATTTGATGATGTTACGTTTAATTTTTTTACCTTTTTCATCTCGTAACGTTCTGTCGTTTTCACAGCGTATTTGAAAATTTGGAGTATTTACATACCTATACCGAGATTGAGAACTCTCTGGCCTATTGTCTCTGTGTTGTGTGTTATCGTAGTATGGCGTATCGTTACTACTGCTTGGATAGTAACTCAAAGCATCCGTAATTCCGGGATACGATGGATCCATGGGTCTTTGGAGGTCCTTATACGACATCACGTCCAATAAGTCAGGCACATTTGAAATGGACTGGTGTGCGGAAGACGTCGGGTACGTCCTATATCCTTGACCCGCCGTAGAATACACACCGGTTGATCGATCATAATACGCTAAGTCCGTGTCGAATGCAGTGGTTACGCATGTCGCAACCGTTAGTCCGGACGGGCCAGCTAATGATATTTGATAAGATTGATCAAACACCCGTTTGCCGGGTGAGCATGGTGACTTTTCAAGATTTGATAGTAACCCGCCGCTCATTGACGACAAACCTGAATCAGACTTATTTGTTGCAACAATAGCACCGGTTCTAAGTTGATGGACCGTGTCCAAATCCTTTAAGGAATTATTGTGGAACTGGTGTAAAGTGTTCGTGTCTTTTGAAGAATCATGAAGCAATGAGCTGAGTTCCTTGGTGGAATTCTGTAACTGTTGCTGAGAATGCAATTCCCTAGTGGAGTTATGAAATTGGCGCAACGAGTTTAACTCCTTGGTAGAACTATGAAACTGACGTAGACTAAGTGATAGAGCAGACGAGAGTGAGTTAGAAAATACGGGGTCCTCGGGCGCCGGAGGAGGTGGGCTACTAGGCGGCGATTGAGGCCTGTATCCATCGTCTACGTACGAGGAAGCTTGCTGCACGTCATCCATAAACAACGACGAAGATCGGAAATCAACAGGTTGCTCATATTTGGGTATAGCAGGAAGCGATCGAATGGACGGAGATGTGTACGGCAACATTCGTTGTTGTATGTTGCTTATGGACGCCGTTAGGGGTTTGTCGATAGGATTATAATAGTCCAGAGCAGCCGCCGCTCTTTCCGCCTCGTCATTCCAACTATCCAACTGCGCCTCGGCGTACAACTGTCGCATGTTTCGCTCCATTTGTTCAATGTTCTCGAAAAGATTTTTCGCCGATTCCACGGGGTCCAGTTTGTCCGGGTCGTCGTCTAACAGACGGTCCGCGTACGCCCCGTAATCTCCGTCACTTATTATTTCCGAAGATTTTTTGACTCCGTTGCTGCTGCTGCCCTCCGACTCTTCCCAAATCATGCTCAACGACGACCTATCGCCGAAGTTCAATGCCGGTTCGGCGGCGTATGTTTGAGTCGAATAATGCGTACATTCGGTGATCATTTGTTCGATGAAAAGGTGTTGGTTATGGACAATCTGATCCAATTTCTCTATACGATTCCACAGCACAACATAGTCGTCCGTAACCATCTCCAACGATCTCCACGCGTTTCCGAGTTCGTTCTCGAGTACGTTGATTCGGGGCGTCATTTTCTCAATAAATTCATTGAGCGCCGCCTCCACAGCTTGCTGTTCGCTGCTGCTTACGGCGGCCGCGGTCGGTCGGCCACCGCCTATGTTCCGGTTGTGTTCGGGCTCCATGTCAGCGGTTCAGCTATAGCCGGCACATGGTCCGATAGGCCGGGTGAGCTCCGGCGAATGACAGCCCATTGGTTTTCCGACTGTTTTCGGAAATCACGTGGTGACGAAATAATATTCCTGAATAAACGGAAAACAACAAAATTAGTTCATTGCCCGCGTGTAGTTAGTTAGCCGCGTTAATAAAGACGTTCTTTGCAAAAGGGTTACCGAACTTATTTGCGACGGTCAATATATGGACGTGGTGTTTTTATACTCAGTCGAATCACGTAACTATTTTTTAAAAATTTTTTTATTTGACATCTACCCAACGAATGACGAGGGGAAGCATTTTAAAAGTTAATCTTTCAGAAAAACTCCGTAGTGTACATAAATATTAAGGCGCGAATTAAAAACGTCTAAAGCTCGATGTAGTTTGCGGTCGCCGTAAAATGACTAGGTTTCATAAATAATCGACCACGGCGGTATTTCGGGAGACGATAATGATAAATTACTGTCATAAGCTATCTCGTCTCTCCAGGCTCGGGTTCTTTCCTTTCCCTACCCCCGCGACTGCTTTTGCCGGTCTATCGTTTTATACATGGCCATAACTAGTGGATACAGTACTGTATAAAATATATATATATATATATATATATACTGGCCAACAGAAAATCTGGTAAGTCGATTTAACTCTAACGAGAATTTATATTTTTTCACCGGTAAAATGAACTTTAGCGAATGTGTGTTTTTGGACAGGGCGGAGGAGAAACAACGATAAGGCGAGTTTGCCAAAAACGTGATTTTCGGTCGTTTACGTTGCAAACGATCGTGGTATTTGTTGTGAACCCGCAAAGAACGTCCTAGGAACGCAATATTATTTTTTATGTCGTCTTACCTCGGACTCCAAGTGCCATCGTCTTGGCATTTGATGTCATCCACGTCGGTACAATGTGTTTTAGAGTACCAAATGAGTGGTCGATGTTATCGTTTGTATGGGAAAACCGCGAAAAACGCACGTAATACAATCCGAATGTGCGCCGTCAGACTTTTGACGAGTGACCAAAAACAAAAAACTTACTCACACGCATAGTTTTGCGTATGCCACTTACACTACGCGTAACACAACCCAGTGTATATTGGCGAGTGTGTGTAAAACAATAAGATGATAATATTGTTTTTTTTTTCAAGCAGTCGACATTGACAGGAAAATCAATTGGTCGATTTCGTAGTCGTTGTTGGGGCGTTGGTTTTTATTATTTTTAAATTCGTTTAACAAACGGTAAACGAGCCGTTTCTGTTGGGCGCTGTCAATCTTGCGGATGTAAGAATGCGCCATTCAAATAAGCCGTCTCGTTGTCACGGTCTCGTCCGAAAATTCAATCACATTTTCCAAGTGACCCGAAACTACCGCTTCTGCCGTCCTTCCTTTACCCGAGACCATCGTCGCGCTGTCTCTCACTTCCCCACGCTATTCACGATTACTCTACACGGGTACAATACAAATGTAGTACGATATATTGCTAATGCACTCGAACTCACGCACCAAAACACAAATACACTAAAAAATTATCTACAAATATAGATATATATATACATATATATATATATATATATATATGTATTGTACACAAAATCGGTTAAAAAAAAAATTACACTGACGATGACGTTTGACCGATAGTCTGCGGCAACGGGTTTTTTTTTCAATTAAACTATAAATTAAAAATCATACAAAAATTCGGCGTCTCCGTGTGATGTGCCGCGAACTTACGCACTCGTGTCGGTTAACGGTCGGCGGTTCAGGTGGGCGGGCGGGTCGCGCACACACACGTCCGCTGACGATCCGGCACTGGTGGCGCGTTCGGCGTGGTGGCGCATATATTCGGGAGCGGTTTTTCCCGGTTTCGCGCGAGCAAAGCGCGCCCCGGCGGTCGGCGGTGACGGGGCGCGGCGAACGTGCCACCGCTCGTGGCCGGGAGGGTCGAGGAAGGGGCCGCGCTCGCGAAACACTTCTACCGCGCGGTGCTCCCCTCGCTTTCCCGCTGGAAGGCCCCCGGTTGTGACGAGAGGGTGTAGCTCGCCGTTGCGTCTGCGGGGACGTGCCCTGCGCACCCCTCGCCGCCGCTATTGATTTGTCCAAAGACCTTCCGCGTGTTTGTCGACCGGCACGCCGGTGGTTCAAGAAGGCCGAAGCATATATACCGTCGTGTATACTTGTACTTATATATAATATATATATATATATAATTGTATACAATATGATACATAATACAACGAACGCGTACAAAGCGGTTTGATGATTTTCGAAGGTAAAAAAAAAAAATTGCAATACCTGTGTAAGGAGAAACAATGAGCGCGGTAATCGCGCCTGACGAGACTAAAGTAAGAAAATGTTTTTTATTCGACGACCGGAGACGGCTAATCTCTCCCCTTGATTCATATTGGATCGTGTTAACAATATTAAAGACATAGGTATACCATATATACATAAACAAGTACACTTTCGTATCGTAAACACATTAGCCTTAAATTTGTCGCAGTCGAGCAAAAAATAAGACCGCGCGAACAAGTTTTAATCGAGACATCCGAAAATACATATTTTTAACCGTTTTGTTTCGATGAAATTCCAAATATTTTCGAATTTTTCTACTATTAAAAATGTGGCCCGTTCGTTTGTAATTTCTATTACACCGTTTGAACAAATTACCCCAACGTAACATTTCTCCCAACTCGACTCTATAGTTTTAAAATCGTTTATTACCGAGAATCTCGGAATTCGGCGATAAGCGTAATGACTTTATTCTTAGCATAACTATGTTAATTATTATGAATGTAAAAAATAAAATAGAATCTCAGCAGTTATAGCAGATGTATGGTCCGCCGGGGGAGACCGAAAAGTTTCGGTGTTAATATCTATATTATACAGTTTAAAACGTACTGGTAATATTATATGCTTGTACATACGTGGCACGCGGCAGTCGGATTACGAAGGTATACATTGAACTCGGGTAATGGATAATATATTTTTCCACCGCAGCTGCCGAAAAAAATAACATCAGGTTTTACGAGGATAAAAAACAAATAATATGTACATTATACTACGTGAGTAACGTCCGCCGCGTGGTCGCGATCAACTCAATTATCAATAATTAATTCTCGCACGAATGAAAACACATACAATACCCTTTCGTTTGTTATTTAAAGATAATTGATGACCGTATACGTCATAATATAATCTCCGGCGCAATAATTATCATCACATAAACTGCATTATTATGTTTGTACGATGACAGATATTGTAATGAAATGTTTCATGCCAACTCGGCCGCTAAACATATTGCTGTTTATTACCGCTCGTTATGAGGTTTTGTATTTATTACCTAGTGTCTCTCCTTGCTCCACTACTCATTTACCGTGTTTATATCGATTTCGTTGCCGCCGCCGCCACCACCGCTACTATACTGATTACCTGATTTCTACTCGAGATTTGTTTTTTGCCTACCCTGCCCATTCCCTCCCGCATATAATATAGTATACAACGTTCGCCTCGCACAACTGCAACGATTTTCAACAAGTTGGCACGCATATTAACGTACCTATTTTAATGATCCAACCCCTTTTTGACCGTCTAGGGAAATGGTTGCATACGGCCGGCGGCAAAAGTGAAAGAAAGAAAAATAAAACCCGTACATTAACGTACGGGTAACCCAAATATATATATAAATATGTATATTTTGTCATGGACTGTGTGTAAACTTTCGACTAGCGTGGAACAAAGTTTCAGCCATAAATTCCGGTAACTCTTTCCATTGATTTTGTACTTTGCAGTTCGCACACACACTACTTTTTGGCCAAACTCACCGGGAAAATCCGCGGAGCAACTAGTTGTTGGCCAAGTCGCTAAATAAACCAAATAACTTGTTAAATATTTAACGGAAAGCAACGACAACAAACCACTACGTTATGGTTCATAAGACGTATAATAATAACAACGTTAGCAATCTGGACTGTGCTCGGATTACATAAGTACTTCCTCATTCTTGATTTATGTTCCGTTTGTGTTTAACTTGTAAACAACGTAAATACGTATGGTCATACTATTATATTATAACAATAAGACTTTTGGAAAGTTTGGAAACCACAAAAAAACCGTCTTAACGCAATAATTACAACACCTTAGGTAAGTATAGTTTTGTTATTCTTATAATATTATGATGTATTAATGTATTTTGCTAAATTAATACTGTTGAAAAACCTGATTTTCTATAAGATTTTTTAATTATATTCATTCTCATAATGATAAAATATTCTGAAAATTACACTGGAAGTAGATCTGGAGTAGAGCTATAACATCTATAATTTTCTCAAAAAATCTGTAGTAAAACTTTTTTTTATCAAAGAAAATGTTCATGGTCATAACGAGTAAAATACATGGTGAAAAGTGTGTTGAAGTATTTATAAGAATAATATAGACTTTTATAAGTGCGATAGTTTTAAAAAAAAAACCCCGTTAAGCTAAAAAAAATCCCACAGTTAATTAAGACTAATACTTTTTTTTATACAGAATTCTCCTTTTAGCTACCTCAAGGAGTCAACAATTAAAAATAATTTCCTCTCTTTAAATCAAGCGTATAGATCTTTGTAAGATCTTTTACATCTTTTACAACGTAAAAACCAATGAATAGTAATGACTTGAAGAAAAGAGTTAGTTGCCGTCTTCTCCTCCTTATTATGCCCACGTAATATTTATTCAGGGAGAAGTAACGGCTGTTTGGAAATGAACACATTTGCCGGCGACGATCAATTTTCTTTTCCCACTGGCCCTTTCAAGTTTTTAAGCATGTGGTATTTTCTTTTAGCATATTCTCTGGCTGAATATATTTATTTTTTCGGTATCGTTTTGAAATCTAAAAACTAAAGTTCTTTGTTTTACAACTTTCGGCAGTTATTGTATTTTTGTAATTTCTTCTCATTGCTGACCAGTGACCGTAGAATAAATTATTGGATTATTAGGGTGATTTTATTTAGGTTAAATCTTAATTTCTATGGTACCGCAAACTTTATTCTGAATAATACAAGTAAAGCGAACTAAAAGTGATATAAAATTACTTATAGATTTTTTATTTGATTTCACTTGAAAGTAAAGCCATTAGATACATACAGTTTTTTTTATTAATAATAAATTCCTATTTAAAAATATTTGTATTTTAAATGAAAACCTTTCGTTGCAGGCGGAAATTTGATTTGGGTTATTAAAGATTTCATAGTATGGTCAAACTTAAAATTTTTTTTTTTAAATCAAGTGGGGGTAGGAAGACAACTCTTAAATAAAAATCGACCTAATAAAGATGGATATTATTTACTATAAGTTATCAAACTTATAAACTATTGTTGAGTAACGTAAACAAATAATCAGAATAATTTATGCTTTCTATTAGTGCAATAATCACAAAAACGGGAAACATTATTCTTTCTTATCAGAACGTCACCATTTTTATCAATATCAGTATTAAAATAATATCTATAATTTTCCAGTTGTTATATTAACTTACATATATTTACATAAGCATCGGGCGTCTGTTATAGTTTATAATTATTATTAAAATTATTAAGCTATTGTTTAATTGGGCCATCTTTGAAAACAACCGCTATCAAACTAATTCCAAACTAAGTATTGCTCGCTTTGAACGTTTATCACAGTAGAACTTTGACAGATTAACCGAATAAAGCCGCATGAATAAACATGGACCATAGAATTTTCAGTCACAATGAGTCGCAGATGTCAAAAGACTTGCATAATATTATGTCAATTGTATGCGGTTTTGACGAATATTTAATTAAGAGACGGCAAGATCGCCTGTACGCCTCATATTGATACACAAGTACTCTTAAGTATCATGGTAACGCTTAATAATTAGACAAATCTCTCAAATTCCATCATTCTTAACAATGCAAGTTAATTTTTTATAATGATATGAACACAATAATTTTAGACGAATCTACCAAATTTAACTTAACATTAATTAAACATTATATTCTATGTAGTTTTTTCGAGTAAACATAGTTTGTCAACATTTTGTTTTTAAAAAAAAAAATGTTTTATATCGATTTTTGTTTTATGGTAACCGAATGGTTATCATGATCTGTACTTCAAATCATATTGTACATTTTACGCGCAGAGTCATTAACTAAAATTTCATTTACAACTCTATTGACGTTAAAGACGTACACCATTGTTTCAGGACCAAATGAAAACAAATGATCTTTTACACAGACACACGAGTTCCCGTTGTCGAGCTAAATGAATTCCTACATATACGGTTGGATGCGAGGCTGGCGGGTATTGAGCTGTTGTTTATCAACATCACTAAAGCCCAAACTGACTTGCGGTTATTTCAAGCCTTACGCGTATAATATGTCAACATAACAATAAGTCAAAATTACCTCATAATTTTAACAAACTAATACACCGTTAGCGTGAAATAGTATTATGCAATTATTATCAAACTCTATTATAATGTAAAGTTTTTCAGAGTATCCTCGCAGATTTATATAACTTTAGATTGGAAACAAAACAAACTGCGCACGATGTCGGTCGGGTCAACATAGGTACGTCTTATAATTGTTTTTTTAGAACGATAAAAGCGAACGGCCATATTTTTGTCAACAGGTATTTACATATATAACGAAAACGTAAAAGGCTTTAGATTAGATTACCGTGGCAAAATATAGCGAGATACAATTTCGTTTGATCTGTGCTTTCATGTTAAAAATAGCTTTACAGCGCCGATGTAAGCACAGTTTTATATCTGTACATGCAGCGCTCGCGAACGGC